TTTTTATAGATCCTAAAGAAAGTCACGCTAAAATGTGTTTTGAAAGGTCATGAAAGCCATCAGATGACACTACAACTAGTAGTAATTTGACAGGTGCCAGCCAAGATGCACCTTGATTCATGAAAGCACTTCATCAGATACCCAACTGTAAGCCTGTGTGTTAGTCTCTTCGAAGTCCATGACTGCTCATACAGTTCATAAGACACATTCTTAAGAACCTTGCTGAACTACAACCTTAAGAAGAATCTAATTAAAGTCCTAATACCTGATTAGAAGAAAATTAGAAATCTAACTTTGTGAAATGTGTTAAATATTTCATTTATTTCTCTAAATATTAATCCCAAGACTACCAAAATACAGTATGATTTAAATTTTATCAGACAAGGAAGTTATGCTTATTTATTTTGCTGAAATGTAATTTACATACCTGAGGTTAAAACTGGCTATCAGCTTTCACTAATTTAGGTTTGACTTCCTCCTTTTCTAAGCCCTGGAGACACCCAAGATTTCTTTTAAAAAGAAGGAAATTATTTATGACTAGGAAGCACTAACTAAATTCTGAGCACATAACTCCTGTTTTCCACTTGTGTCATTAATTTCCATTATCATGCTGCCTAGCTGCCAAGGTAACCAAGAAATCCTGTTTTCACATGTGATGGGTTTTCTTGTTTTGTCTGCATACTAAGATTAAAATGTTTTTGGTGTCTTCAAGGATGAACAAGCATAGTATAATACTGGCAACATCAAAATAATCTGTACAGTGGAAATTACTTTTAACTAGATTATACAAATAAGCATGTTTTAGAGACACAGTAAATACCAAAAAAGTAGTTCTCCAAAATATTTCAGAAAAATATATTTACACAAATTAAATTTGTTTGTGCCCAGTAAAACTACTATAACTACTACTACAAAATAAGTAATTTGTATAGGCCTGTTTAATTTAATAAAATAAAATATATCACCAATAAAAGATATCACTAAAAACCCTTGCTTCTCTCATTTAATTTAAATGAAGAGATGAACTTATGAGGTAAAAGCAAAAGGAAGTTAGAAAATAAATTGATCCATTAGTAACCTGGGCTGCTGTTCATTAACAATAATAATATCATCATTATTTTAGTTCTTGGATACATTACACTTCAGCAAAACAAAAATAAAATCTGTCTCATAAAATGTGAATTATTTTGACAATTTTCCTTCTCTAACTATTAAATAAAAAGAAAAATGATTCAATTCTTGAAAGAAAAAATATTTTTCACAACATTTTTGTGTGCTAATTATGTACATAACAAATATATGCAGCTGCAATGATCCCTGGTAAATATTGTATTTATGGTGTGATTAATAAGGTAATCTCACTATAAACCACAACATACCACATGTGCAAGTAATTTATGGCACAACAAAATGACAAACCAGACACTAATATGTTCCACATATAATATAGAACAGCTTTGTGGCTGGTTTGTATAGTGCTTTAACTTGAGTGTGTCACTGAAGTGGTGTTAGGGAAGTTGATCAGCCTGGGCCCAGTGCTGTCAGGAACTTTGAGAAGGCAGGCCACACATGCAGGCCCATCAACAGTTCTCTATGGCCAGTGTCCTGGTTCCTAACCATGTTTTCCTGGAGCAATGTTTTCTAGCACCTGACTCCAGTTTGGCTCTTTCTTCTGACTTCACCAGAAGTACTGTCCTCCGGGCTGTTACTTGGCCTTTGATCCCCTGGATCCTGACCTGGGACTGTGCTGCGGACCCTGCTTCTGGATTTCCCCCTGGTTTTGGTATATGGCCTATGCTGAAGTCCCTTACAGGTGGGAGCTTGAGATCAAGGAGCCACTCCCTGATCTAGAGCTCTAAGCACCCATGCACAAGCCAGCTGCATGTGTACCCTTTAAACATGCTGGTGGGAGGGCCCCGAGATGGGGATTTTCTGCCAGGGCCCTATGATAGAGTCCTTTTAATTTATATGCTCAGCACTGCAAACTGCACTTTTTCACTTACGTATTTACTAACCAACTGCCTGTCAAGAATGATTGGGGCAGGGTGCGGTGCAAGCAGGGACAGAGGCCTGCATGCAGTCCCTCCCTCCCCTCCACCTTTGGGGCCGAGCCCACTCCCCCTTTCCACCCCCCTCTGCCTCGGCCCCCACCCCCATGTCCTCTCCATCCTTGCTGTCATGGAGACGCTCCAAATGCTCTTGGAGCACACCGTTGGCTTCCAAAACAGCCAGTCAGAGTGTGAATAAAGCATTACGGACAGACAAACAGACAGACAAAGGCTTTTATAATATTAGAATTATAGACACAGTTATTTTAAGCTATAATGACCCTCTGTTGAGTAGGGTGTCATATATATTGAATATATAAAGAAACCAACCAACCAATCAATGAACAACTAGATGAAAACCACAAGTTTCATTTACTGAGAATGATCAATTATAGTTTATTTCTGGCTTCCCTATATTATACTAGTACTATGCAACAATTCTAAACTGATGGAAATGTACGCATTTTGTTTGTTCAAAATGTTGTTTTTACTTGTTATGGATTTAGCTCTTATCTTAAAAGCTAGTGGCTGTGATTCATATCAAATAATTAATTTGCATACCTTGTGTACACTATTTTGAAATAGTTTGTTTCTCTAGCTGCTTACTTATGTTCATTTCACCCTTACCAAGCCAAATTCAAAGTACGTTGCTCAAAGTAATGAATAAATACTTAAAAAGCAACTGAAAATTAATTTGACTAAAATACTGGGAATTTTCCACATTAAAAAGAGTAAAGAAAAATAATCCCTTATTCATTTACAGACTTTCAAGTTATTAATTACTTGATTCATTTGAGATCAAAAGGAATAATAAAGGATCACGCACATCTCCAGGAGGTTTTTTGTTTAAGAAAGGGGCCTTTTTCCTTTTAAAAGGGGCAAAACATTTTCATTGGTTGAACAGGGTTTGACATGTCCCATTCATAAACAACTATTAAAATGTGTATTTTGTTTCTTTAAAAAGACCAGAATCCAAACAGTAGTATTACTTTGTCTGTAGTTTCTACCAACATAAACACATCTGCTGTTAAGGGAGAACTATTCAACAACCTGTCAGGAATGATAAACATGGCAAGTTCTTATGAATGTCCTATAACAGGAAGACAGCTATTTCATGTGATTTGCAAGTGTATGCTTGATGTGTAAATGATCTTAAAATTTAAATGTGAAAATTTCCCCATAGCATTCAAATGGGATAACCACAAACTGCTTGTATATTCTAAAAAATCAGAGACTTTTTACATTTTTATGTAAATAAACTATGTCCCCATTTTTAAAAAATTAATCTTAATGCTAGATAGAGTCAAAAAGCAAACTGGATTTTAGGGTTAGATGCAATATTGTTTGTTTGCTGTGGACATACAGAATAAAATATACAGGAATGCTTAAGGGACCTTGATTCCAAAAATGCCTGAAGTGATTTAAGTGCCAAAGTTACTTAGGCATTTTTGAAAATTTTAACCCCTATCCTCACAGAAACAATCAAGCCACTTAAGCTAAGAAACTAAGAAAATGAGAAGATGGATGATAATTTTAATTCTGAATTTTTGTATTCTATTATTATGGAATTCAGGGTATTCTAACCATTACATGTACACACACAGATGCACTCTCCTTGTAAGTTTGATAGCATGCCACCTATCGCCTACTAATAGGCAGCCTTTTTGGAACTCGGGTGTTCCAAAGTCTAACACACTTATCAAATGCTTTGCCATTTACTGAAATGTTTCTCTTTGGCCTAGAGAAAATACTGCAAACAGTATAAACTCTCTTATAGTACTGAACCCTTCCTGGTCCCAGCTGTGTATAATACAACCTCAATTATGTAAAGACTTGGGGGAGGATTGTGGGGAGGGTCACTTGAAACCTTTGAATTTGACAAGCAGTGAAAGAAGTTCAGCTTTGAAGTGTGCGCTAAGTAGGGGTCAAGACATCTTCAAAGTCTGCTGAACTGGATCCTTCAATTAGACAGCGTCGGTAAGGTAGAACAGGACTAGGGCATTATGTGTTTAATGGAGGCCCAAAGCTAAAGAGCATTAGCTAAACTGCCTTAGTCTTACGGAACCAGATGTTATCTAATCCTCACTTCTTTGAAAGCCTGTGAAAATTAGGTATATGAACATGTTTTGGTTGACTGGGATTTGGATAATAAAGTTCAGATAACAGTGGCTGCACTGTACTAGGTGAATAACCTCATGCATTTTGTTACTTCTACTTTAACTCTTCAGCTCTTGTTTTCAAATCTCAGAAGAGACTTAGTTTAGGTTTGCTTCAGTCTAAGAAGCAAGCTAAACCTTAACTCCATATTACCTTGAAAGACTTAAACTTCCCCCTTCTGTTAACACTGCAGCTAGCTGGTGTTTACTGCAGTTTAGTTCTTACTAAAGTTCAATTCACTTAGACTGCAATCTGAATCTTTGATTTTTAACTGTGCATATTTCAAATATTGTCTGAAATACTGAGTAAAATGTTCTGAATTACTCAGCTCATTGTGACAGTTCTGTTTGTAACTTTCAGCTCATATACTAGAAAACCATGTGCAACAGGACTTATTCACGCAAATCCCCATTTTGTCCTTGGTAGGAGTTTGTCCAAGTAAAAATTTAAGGACAGTCTCCACAGGGCAAACAGTGAAAAAGTTTAAAGGTCTTTGACCACTGCCTATTTTCAAAATAAGTAGAGCTTTCAGCGTGCATTCATTTCTTAACTGTAAAGTGCATATATGAGGAGATGTTCCTTTATTTAACTGTACTGTGCTTTTTTCTAGCCACCTCTACTGGCATTTTAAAAATGCTAAAAAAAAAAAAAAGAGACATCATTAGGAAAAGATGTACTGAATATGAAGTAAACCAGTCTGATAAAAGGTAAAAACCAGTGAGGTAATTAAAACCAACTTCAAACTCTGATTAGGATTAAAACCAACTTCAACTTTGATTAGGATATCTGCCTTACCCAGCCCACAAGGATATGACCAACATGCTCAGTAGATCCATCAGGTTTTCTGATCTCCTGAAGCCTCCTTAGAAGATCTGACCAAAATAGAATAGGAAGGAAAACTCACTTGCAGAACAAGATGAATATAAATAAATGTAATTTAATCATTTAACAGAGTTATACCTTCATGCAGAGGAATTAAAGAGTCCAGCGTTCCAAATATTTGGTTTAACTCTTGCTCTGTCATTATGTGGAGTTTTAGCATGGGGTCATGATAAGCCTGCAAACAAACCAACCAGTCAGTTAGAAAGAATTAGCATATATTTGATATCTGAGAAATTAGAGAGCATTTAAATCCTTCCATAACTTAAAAAAGGCTGAAGGTATTTTATTCATGTTTTCACAATCTCACACTGTGTTAAAGTTCAATTACATAAAATTAAGTCTCAAAATTGAAAATTTCAGAATGTTATGAATATAAACGTCCGCAGGCAGCAGTTATTATAAACGGTGGGGAGGCGGTTAAAGGGCAAAATAGCTGAATAAATTATTTGTATAAATACCTTTTTTGCCAACTTCAAGTCTTCTATCAAGTCGTCTTCTCCCTGGGCAAGTTCAAAGATAGCCTACAGGGAAACAGACATATTTTTTTATTTAAACTGACTGAAAAATTGCTGTTACTTGCTAAATCTGATAGGAGACTTAATCTAAACTTAATCTGATATTTACAAAACCATTCAATTGCTAAGTATTACCTTAAAAATCATGACCTTGAAATACTTCTTTAACTATTTCAGAAAATAAATGTTTTATGAGAAGTGAAATTTTTGGCCTGAGATATTTCTGATCTAGAAGTCACTCTTATGTATTATATTTTAATAAAACTGAAATCTCTTAACTAATTTTGGTAAAATAAAGACTGTTTATGAAATATGTACACAAGTATCTTTTTAATAAATGTAACATTTGTCAAATGTAACATTTGTTTAACAGAGCAACTATTTGAATATCCTTTAAAATGTTAATATATTACAATACTTTTAATTTTGTTTAATTTTTTTCTCTTGTGGGGAAATGCAGAGCTTTGGTGGAACCTCCGCCTCATGCCAGCCATTTTTACTGAAGGGAGTTCTGAATTTTATTATTAGAACTCAGATCAAACCTTAGCACACTTTCAGCATGGTACCTTACCAGTCATACTTTTTAAATGATAAATCATAATTTACATGATCTAGTTTTGATCAAGCATTGCAAATGAGCACATCTTGATTAATTAAAATTATTCATATTAAAAACCAAGATTTTAAGAATGTTTTTAAAGGTTCCATGTTCAAGATCATCAACTGGTGTAAGTGGCTCAGCCATTTACATGAATTGAGGCTCTGACCTCATATTATATACATAGTGTTTGTCACAAAAGGCACATGACAGCCACAAGGCTGCACTACCATCTGCAGAGCATATCCATTGTCACTCCATGACTTATGAGATGGCATTCCTTCTTCATAGAAACATATTTTGTACCATATCTGGTAGGACTTGGGAGCTCCTCCTTATCTTTGTGAAATTGAATCTGGCCTCAGCTATCTGTCATCTCTTAGGTGGACTAGAACTATGCAGTATACCTGGGCAGGGAACCTCAGGAAACTCCAACTGGTTACACAATGCTGCAGCATACCTGAGAAAAACAGGGTATTGCAAGCATATCCTCTCTCACCTCTGCTCTCTAATGCTGAATTACATTTCAATCATCTTAAATGCTTGAGTGACCTCTTAGAAAAGTCTGAGGCCATAATTTCCAAGGGTTGAGTAGCCTGGGGTCCAGGTACCTAAACAACCAAGCAACGTTTCAGGAAAAAGACTAGCAGATAATTTTACTCCTCTGGCACAACAGAACTTTTCACAATAAAGATATTGTGCTTGTCAGCACAGGAAAGAGCTTCCTCAGTGATTTGTCCAAGATTGTGAAATGAATGTACACAAGAACTGAGGGCCACCCCAAAGATGCATTTGTGACACTTGCGTTCTATAGAACAGACAGTACAATGTATGTGTGCCAGTTTATGTATACAATTCCCAAACAAGCCATTCATTTGCACACATCCCTTCCTCTTTGGGCAGGGTTAGAGAACAAATACATAATAGACAGACGTCACATTGCTTAATGAACAACTGGAAGGCAAGCAAGTATACTGGTGAAGAGCATGTTAAAAAATCTACATAAAACACCAAAATCCTGTGATTTTTTTTTTATATAGCTCATGTAAATGGGCTGTATACAAGGTGACCTCCAAGATTTCACCCTAAATCAGGAATGAATACTGTACTGTGTTATGCAAACAAATTTGTGTAATATATTTTTCAGCAAGTTCCCTTCAAATTTCTCAATTTGAAAAGCTATTTCCTACGAATTTTTGCACTGTGTTTAAATCTATAAGAGAACTTGTGTGACATTACTACTGCTATTTGATTTATGACTCATATAACCATTGCAGTGTTCTGGAAAGGTCTGTTACAAGCTTGCCTGACTGTGCTGAAACTGTAGAACTGAAAATTCCCTGATATATAGAAACTCTCAAAGGTTGAGAGGCAGTGGGCCTACCACAATGACAATATTTGTAATTAAGCAGTGGAGCACTGGAGTTGTTTTTAAGTAAATATGTCTATAATGTATCTATAAGCTTATCATAAATAGGGGTGATTCCATTTTCATTTCAATAACTTCTCTGCTGTAAGAAAAGGCAATTTAACCGTATTAGCAAGGCTGAATTAGAACCTGTTTCTGTTCCCACTGAAGTCAATGGGGTTTTGCTATTGATTTTAATGGGAATCACTTAGAATGTCTCTTGCACAGCCCGTGTTATTAGTGCTGGAGTAGTGTTACTTTTTTTTATAGAGGATACATTTTATAATCTTATCTAATCTTTCCAGCAATGAAAAACCACTGGAAAAATATTAATAATCATTCCCTGTATATATAAAAATGATTATGTCTATGTTATTAAAACTTTTACTAAGTTAGCATTGACCTTACAACAAAAGATCTTGGGAAAACAAATTAGCTATATATAAAACAAAACACTAAGGTAAAGAGAGACTAGAAATCAATTAGTTAATCATATAAGGATCTCTGCAATATAATGTTCAGTAAATCTAGAAGTGTTACCAGCTGCAGTATTAAATATTGTCTCAAAGTATAGCAGTTTCTGTAATGACAGCACTAATCAAAATTAAACTTGATTTAATATTGAACAACAGCAAACATGCAACTACATAAAATCAGCGCTAATACTGTGTAGGAAGGAGGTATGCCCCTATTGCCTCAGATATGACCTTACCACAATGTCATTCAGCAATGGTTTCACAACAACTCCCATGAAAGATGACCCTTCACAATCAGTGACTAGGGGGATAATCTTAGGTGGTGGTTCTCATGACTGATTCTACTTCCCATGAACAGTGGGAAACAGCTGCACTATCCCAGGTTTGTGAAAGTCAATAAAATCTCAGTATTCTCTATTGTAAAGCTCTGCAATGTGGATCTTTCATTGTTTCTTGGTATTTCTATGAGTGGCAGCATTTTCTCCAGGGTTTATACAAGGCTGACCTCTCTAGAGTGCCATGCTTCTTTGGGCCTATTGTTCTCTGGCTGCAAGCCAAAAGCTATGGAGTGCACCACAATGCTTCACATGTTCTCCCACTCATCATAAGTAAACTCTCAGGAGTTTGGAGCCTTGTTCCAAGGTCTACACCAGTGATATTCAACCGGGGTGCCATGAGATCCTTTACAGGGTGTCACAGGGTGATGCTCAATATTAACACTATTGGGTATGATTTGCAAGATAAATCCAGAGTTTTCAAATAGGAATCCAAAATGTCAAAAATACTGCGACCTGTTGTAGCTTTTCTGTATTGGTTGCAGCAGCAGAATGTCTGTATTATGCTTCCTCAGTTAAAAAAGCAAGTGAAATCTAAGAGGTGGCATTTTCTGAGTGGTGCCTTGAGGTTACACCAACAGAGAAGAGTGCAGCCCTTTTGCCATTTGGCCTTTTCTACCATCTGCATACATTACTCTTCTACTGAAAGTTCCTTGGAAATTGTGCTTTCCTATGTATCTGCATGACCTAGACTGGGCCTGATCCTTACAGGAGCTTCTCAGCATGAACAGCAGTACAAATAAAATAACACACATACTAAACACCAAACTACCCAGACCATCCTGCAAAACTCTGATCTAAAATGTCTTAAAGCTATTATACGTTAATTAATGAAGCATTTAAAACAGCAGCAACAACAATGATCTACTGTAGATTGATTATAAAGATTATTAGTGAAATTCTGATGTTATTGAAGTCAGTGGCAAAATACTCAATGACTTCCCTGAAGCCAGGCTTTCACTCTATAACTTCAAATACAGAGTTGGCATTCATTAGCATTCCTAAATATTTTAGGCATAACTGTCCAATTGGAAGCTTAGGAGGATTTTAAAAAATTGTACCTCTTGACGCTTGATTTCTTTGGATGTAAGCATCTGATTGACACAAACATCAAACGTCTCACTCCACAGTTTGCTGTCCCTCCTCTTTGTGTTAGCAGAAGGAACATTTCGAGACCACGGTCGTGGGGTGAATAGATCAGGGCGACTGTCATTCCGGAAGCTGATAGAACGCTAAGAGCAGTACATAAAAAACATAATTGTCATTGTTAAAGAGAGCAGTTTCATATTTACAAATTATTATCCAAGGCAAAACTCTATGTCCAAAGAAATTACATATTTAATAAAATAAAGCAAGTTAATTTAACTCTTAATTCCAGTTCTACCCAATTTTTGTTGGGTCTAATACTACTTTTTAGCATTAAGAGCATAAGAAATGTCATTTGCAAGCATCTTTGTGGTACATAGAGCCCTCAGTAAATTACAGCTATTGCTTTCCTTAACACTGATCAGTGCAATTGGCTCAAACTAGTTTTCCTTCCTTTTAGTTCCAAAGGAACTGCCCCAATATGCAACTCTCTGGGCATATCTACATGTGCACTTTAAATACACAGTAGTCTATTCTACTGTGCATTAAAGCGGTGTGTAAAAAACCATGCTAATATGCAAATGCACAATAGAATAGATTACTGCACATTAAGTATCACCTAAAAAGCATGTACATGCGCTACTGTACCTCATATTGGAGGTATTAAATTTAATGCTCATTAGAAAAAGTGTACTAATTTATGTGTAGTTGTGCCCTCTTGTTCAGGTTATGTGCTGGATGCAGGTGGCATTAATCCCATAGAGAAAAGCTTCAAGGCTAGACATGACGTTATACTAATTGGTTTATATCTTGAAACTTCTTAGTGAATATTTACACAACAAATCATAAAATTATTTATGACCATACCTCAAGTTTACAAACAACCCAACTAAAAAGTACCGCATATATGGAGATAGCACTATATATCCACTAGAACCAATAAATTAAATTTCAGTGAACTGTATTGGAAATTTTCTATCGATTTCTGTTGTCTTGTAGCAAGGACAAATAAGTCCTGTTGGAAGGACCAGCAACCCCAGAAATGCCATACTTTGTCCAAAGCCTTGCTGGATAACTCAAAGCACTGAAAGCCAATTTTACTACTGAGCTACTATCTCCATTAGGGAGAAATAACCTTGGAGATTTCAATGCAAAGTGCAACTACCTTAATCCTAGTCATAAATGATGTAGCGTAGGGATAAGGTCTTACATATGTTAAGGTGGAAAGAAAAACATTCTAGGTGTTAGAATATCAGGGTTCATTAAAAAATCTTTGCGAGAGAAATAGGAAAAATTTGAGGTGTAGCTTAAAAGGTGGAGAACAGATGACAGACCTGTATCAAGAGAAGAGACATCCACATTACAGGAATTAGTAAAATAAAGATGAAACACTTGCTGACCTAAAATAGGATAGCGAAATCTATAAAAGGAAGGCTGTCATGGTAGAATTAGGAAGAGGATGAAGCAACTGTGAAAGAACAAGGCCTATTTTAGCAGATGGCTATCTTTCTTTTGCTTGTGTGACACACCATAGCTTGCAAACCTAAGAACAAATAAACCAATGCAGCAAACTCCAGAAATTATTTAATATCTCATTTGGCCACTGACATGTGTTGAGTGAGAGTCAGGTACGCATTACCTACTGCTCTAACAGGCAGCGCAGTCCAAAGCACAATCTCAGCATGCAAGACTAATTTGAAAAATACCTAAATAAATGGGCATAAGCAAAACTTTCTGATAACTAATTCTAACACAAATTCATAATCTAATATTGGTAATTTAAATGCTAACATTTTTAACAATTTTCCCAAGTAAATGAACCTATTTCAAGTGAGTGAAATATAACATTTACTTATGCTGCAACATCAGTGTTTTTAAAAGGATAAGAGAATATACTCTATGTCAAATTTCCAACCTTGGGATCTTAACATTAATTAAATAGCAAACAGATTCTTTATGATTTTATGATCAAGTTAGTATAAAAATAATTCAGCAGTTCCTATTCAGATTGGATGGGTGTCATGGGGCTGGTCTGTGGGTCAAATCCAGTGTAGGGTTAGTCTACGTGTCAGAACTGGCACACAAACCCGGTCCTGCACTGCATCTGGTCACAGGGCTACCCCACACACCAGCCCACTCCTCATGCTGGATCCAGCCATGGAGCACCTGGCGTGAGCCAAACCCTGTGCACAGGGCCATGTCATCTGGCCTGTGGGGTTCCCCACAAGTCCAGAAATTTGGCAGCAGGGAAGCGATCATAATGTTAATTGCTGTGGCTCCAAGAGCTCCTCCCAGAACTACAGCAATTTATGCTGCCACTGCTCCCCCACAACCACAGGTGGGATCCTACCACCACACCCCACCCTCCCACCAAATTTCCAGACCTATGGAGAGCCCCAAAGGCCAGATAACATCTCCATGGGCCACAGACCAAGCACCCCTAGGTTATACCAATGAAGCCTTAACTTGTAATGGCAATAAAACAACATTAACTTCTGCCTCAATGCTAGTTAGAACTGTGTTCAGTTCTATTCAATCCCCATTTCCATCTTGTAAGGTAAGGTGCATCACCACGAAAATGATCAAATGGTACTAGCTTTATAATGCATTGAAGACAGTGATGAAAGATTTATGCTAGATGGTTAAATCAATTCAAGTACATGAATAATTGTACCAGCTCAGCATTTAGTACTCTGCAGGTATACAGAAGTGATAAACAATCTGTCAAAATGTAGCTAACACTCCACTGTTTTAATCATCCAGTCTACAGTACTGTAAGAAGAAGAAAAAACACAGCAGGTATGAGTAATCAGAATTTAAAAAAAACAAAAAACAATTGGGACTGCTTTTTTTGCATCCTTTGTGGAAAATACTGAAAATCCATTCACATAATAATATTGGGAAGGAAAAGGCACAAAAATCTAATATTTCTATAACTATTAAAATAAATTTTAAAAAATACTACAAAATCCTCAGACTTAGAGATGTGCTTCCCCTTGATCTGTATATGGAACATCCATTAATATATGATGAAATTTCCACATGTGAAGCTGAGAAATTATGTCCCATGGAATTTCTCTTTTATATATTTCTCTCATCAGAAAGGATTGTATAAGACAGAAAGTTAATATTTTCCCCCTAAAATTTTACAGAAACCATTGCAAATGATTGTGATATGGTGTTTGTTTTTTGTCTAGGTATGGTGGTGGTTTCCTTCAGATATCATGGATGCAGAGTTATATCTGTTGATACATGTAGAAAATGTTTTTTTTACTAATATATTCTTACAGTGAAGATATCACATAACGACACTTGTGCCAACTGGAGAACATAAATGTGTAACTCCCAAGTTCTGGAATATGAAGAAAATACTGTGGAGACGGTCTAGGGTGGAGTGCCAGCCATGTTACTAGGTCTCAGAGGATTTACTTTTCCTTTAAACTGATAAACCCAGAGATGACAGAACAAGGAGCACTGATCTCAAGTTGCAGCAAGGGAAATTTAGGTTAGATATTAGGAAGAATTTTCTCACTAGGAGGGTAATAAAACACTGGAACAGGTTACCCAGAGAGGTGGAGTAAGCTCCATCCTTAGATGTTTTCAAAACCTGGCTAGATAAAGCCTTGGCTGGGATGATCTAGCTGGAGATGGTCCTGCTTTGAGCAGGGGGTCGGACTAGATGACCTCCCGGGGTCCCTCCCAACACTAATATTCTATGATTCTGTGAAAACTGTCTTGTACACCTACACAAGGTAAGAAGAAATGGCAGTATAAGCTTCCTAACATCATCTTGCCAAAGTACTTATAAACAATTTTAGAGAGCAATTGAGATCAAGAACATAAATCGGACTTTTTGCTAATTCCATTGTTGGCCACAGTCAAATGAGCTAATAAGGAGTTTTGGAGGGGCAACTATAAGCATAGATATGAGAGACATTGTGAAGAAGTCATCCTCAGTCTGCCTCTCCTTTGTAAGGGGACAGCCCAACTCCCTCTGCCTTGTGTTCACACTACCTGGTTGCTTTGCCAACCGAGCCTGGTCGCCCGAGGGGAGCTGGGCTGTAGAGATTCTTTGTCCTAGTTTCCCACCAACATACCTGTAGAAACAACCTGTATGATTCTTCTCCCTCCACCTGAGGATGACTTTTAAAAGGATTGGTCTGTTTCTGGTTGGGATGTAGTGATGAGGTCACAAAAGTTTTAAAAGGGGTCACTCCTTTTTAGAGGAAGTCAGTCATTTTGGGACAATGAAACAAGCAATAAGCCTCCAGAGCTCCATCAGTCTCTGGATGAACATGTGACTAACTTACCTAAAATGTAGCCAGTAATTGAACTAGACACGTATCAAAAGGGCCAACAAGTAGGTTTTCTTTCAATTTTCCATCATTTTGTATTCCTTCCTGACTCTCTCCCTCTTTGATCAATAAAATTGTCTGTTATAGCATGCCTTGCTGTAAATGCTTATGAGGGTGAGACTAGCCTTTAAAACCCACTTCGCTTGGCTGGCTAAGGTGGGCTGCACAGAACCCTAACAAAGACCAGGGCCTGGGTGGTGACAGCAATTGCCCCAGGTTTGTGGGTGTGCTCCAGGAAGGGGGTCGACCAGATGTAGGCACCCCAGGGGAGACACCCAAAGCAGGGTTTTGGTCAGGCACAGTGAGGCAGGTGGCTCATGGCAATAGTGCCCCTTACTGTCCCACCATAGACATGAGCAACATGTATGAACAGGAGATGAATATAAAATAGGCAACTATAGATTTCATAGAGAAATAAAGCTGAAAGGAACCTCAGGAAATCATCTTGTCCAATCAGGGATCAAATCAGCAACCTTGGTGTTATTAGCACCATGCTCTTACCAACTGCACTAATCATTTCAGAAAAGACAATGCTTAGCCAAAGGAATACATTTCAAATGACCCAAGGTGGAGTCAAACCTAATAGCTGGAGAAAATGAAGGTCTGCACGCCATATAAATCCTCTCAGATATGCAGTTTCCTCAGAAAGCTGATTTGAATAATAGTATTCCTCATTTCACTTTTGGTAACCAGTGCATTGAAATGTATTTTAAAATAAATGGGAAAAATATAAACTAGACATTTTTCCAGAGTAAGACCATAACACACACTCCTCTAGTTTTATCAATAGCTGTGCTCAAACACTTCCCTTCCTACTAAAGTCAAGGGAAGTTGCATGCACATGCAGAACTACAGAACTTTCACTAGAAGTCAAACTTACATGTTAATAAATAAAACATGATAAAATGCAAATCAGTCTTAAATGCAGCCATATAGAACTGACAGTATAAGCACTGAAATGAGCAGAACAGCTGTTTAATGCTGTGAAAAGAGAAGTGCTGGGCTCAGAAAACAGTCTAGCCAAAACTGAATTCACTTTCCACACTCCTCACAACTGAAACTAATGTAGTCCTTTTTTCAGACTCAGGCCAAATTTTTCTTAGAGGCAGACTGTGCAGGAGATTTATATGCCCTAGAGAATACAAGCTTCTCTGCTCTAGTCACGCTATGATATACTTTCTGGTTCACATGCAGAATGGAGTGTGAGTTAAGCCACGTTGCCCTCCCCATAAAGGCTGCTTTTGTATGCAGATGTCTGCACTTTCAACATGTTTATGGAATACAGGAAAACACTGCTAGGCAGATCCTATAAAGCGTGCATTCCACCTAGGCTATTACCATAGGATACTACTTTTTATGGCTTTGTACTCATTCAAATATTGGAGAGAAGGGCTCTCAGTGTAAAAATGGTGCAAGAAAGGTTTTATTTTTGTTGTCTTCAGAAATTACCTGCTATCTGTTAATAGGGCCAAGATCAAGTTAATGTTTGAGTAGATATTAATTCTGAATAATTCAAGATATTTTTATTCATTTCCCCTCTTCAATGAAATTAACCTTGCTCCTCCTATAATTCATTTTAGATTTTAAGCACATTTTTTCTGGTCTAAAGGAAAAATGGCACAATTCTTCAAAGCACTGCAGGCCAGGCTCACAAAGGTATTTAAGTGTCTAAGATCCACTGATCTTGGAATAAGCAGGAGTAAAGCATCTTAATAACTTTATATACCTGTACCAGAGCATCAGGTTTCTAATGCCTTTAAACTCCTAATAAAGTCACTGGGGAATTAGGGCAACAAAACATTTTGTCAGGTCTAGTCTTCTGAGCCTCCAAAGATCTCATAGTGTATGTAGTAAACCTATCATTCCAAAACCTGTGCTACTTTAGAAAAAAAGTTACATTTTAAATTGCATTGCACTGCTATTTGCCTAAGATTAGGCAGCTTTGAAATATGCTTTGAACACTGGCCCAAGTTACCATTTTCTATCTGATCGCCAGGGATCCAGGTTTTGCATTTGCCGTGGAAAAATACAGCAAAACACAGATTTTCTCCTTTAAAAGAGAAAAACCTGGGAAACCATGGGTTTCCCCTTGTAGGCTGGCAGAGTTCCGGCCTACAAGGGGATGCTTGGTACTAGAAGGAGCGAGACACAGGCAGCACCAAATGCATGTGCTTGTGGACACATGCACATAGCAGCCAGACAGTGTGGTGAAAAGCAGCTCCCACAGCTCCTTCCAGATTAAGTCTATGGGGGCGTGAGGGCAACATGCAGTATAGACAATGGGAGGTAGGGGAGGAGCAGCGCAGACAAGGCATTAGGGGGTGGGGAGGGATATGTGCCTCCCCCAGTTTTCTGTACTCACAGCAGGGCATGGAGCTGTAGCGTGGCTGGACCAGCTCCAGGCAGGAGCCACCTCTGTGGCCCAGCAGGAGGGACCTGGTAAGGAAGGGTGTGCTATGCCACCATGGCCCCCAAGTCAAGGCACCCCCTGCCCTCATGGCAGCAGCAGGGGGCACAGCTCTGTGCTGCTGCCACTGCACTTCACCTTGGTGGCCATGGTGGCATAGTGCTCCCTCCCGCACCAGGTCTTGCCCACTGGGCCGCAGAGGCCAGGGGGCTGCAGGTCAGGAGTGAGAGGCACCAGCAGGTCTGGAGGGGCAGAGGGCTGTGGGTTGGGAGTGAGGGGCAATGGCAGGGACTGGGGCAGGGCACCAGCATATCATGGCTGCTCAGCACTATAAAGGGGAGCGGGGGGATAACGCATCTGGACCTGCATTCTGCTGAGTGAAGGGGGCAGGGGGAGTTCTGATTTTTTTATGACAAAAAAACCAAAATCAAATGCCAAAATATATATGTATTTAGAATTTATTTTATTATAATGACTGAGGCACCAGTAAGCTTCCAAATAATTCTAAAATTTTAAATATATCAATAAAACATTGTGTTCATCTGATACTTATCTATCTATCTGTCTATCTATAGTGGCCTTTCATTTTAACCATGGAAAAGCATGGGTTTGGGGGTTTTTAATCACAGAAGTTTGGATTTTTATTACAGAATTTTGGATTTTTAAACAGAGAAAACCAGGATACCTGCTCGTCGCAATACATTTTGCCAACAGAAGTTAAAGTTTACCACGAATAATGGCAATTTAGAAGTATTATATATGAACTTATTTCTCACATACAGTACACCCACAGAAATTAAGTACATTTTCCAAAAATGTCACTTTTCTTTTTCATCAACATTTCTAAATTCAAAGTTAGCATAGCAGCTATAGCATTGTACGTGTTGAAAATATTAATATTGCAAAACTTAGGCCCCCTCCCTCCCCAAAAGCATTTCAGTATTTCAGAGGAAGAATCTGAGTTTTTCAGTCACCTGGCTTTTGCTTGGCCAAGGGTTATCTAAAACTGGATTACTTAAAATGTAATTTAAAAGCACGCCAAAGGTGCATGGCCCCATGTGGACAGACACCCTTTTAAAACACATATATAAAGCTAACCTCTTCAACAAGTAAAAAAAATGTATTAATAAAACAATAATAAAAAGCCTGTTTGCATACAACTTAGCTCAGCACTTACTTGTATGCCTGTTTCTCTGTCTGCAAAGTGGCATTCAATGTGTTTAAGATTTCACAAGAAGCATGGGCAGTCTATGACAGAAGGATGGCAGCAGAGCTTTTACTGGTAACACATAATTTCACCCTATTATCACTGTACCTTTTATTGTACTTAAAGGTATGCAAGGCATTCAGACACAAATCACACACAATACCATTTGAAAAGCTGAAAACTAGAAGCATTTGGTAGCATACCTGTACAGGCTTCAACAATAATACAACAGTACTTTTGTTAATTTTACCTGAAGTGTTTGACTGAATCGCTTTAATGGAGTTGCCCGCACAGGAGGAATGAGGCTTGCTAGTGATGTAACTCTGGAAAGAGGCTTGATTCGTTTGTTACTAGGCTCCTATAGTGGGGAGAAGAAAAAAAAAGCAATAAAAAAAATTGTCACCAAAAAAAAGATCTTCCTACTGGTTTTGTTAGTTTACCAAGAAAAGCATTATAAAATACATACTTAATTTGATCCATAGCTATAATCTGACAATGACAGATTATCTTTGCTTTTTGCATCGAGATTCCAGAAATGGCTGAAACATCGTCCAGCAGGCTAAAGAACTGGTATGGTCGAGATGGAGAGAGCCTCTTTTGCCTCCCTATACCTAGCATTTTTTCTATTGGGATACTTGGTTTAAAATTGTTTGGGCAGAAGGCCTTAAAATGCTCTGAAGCTAATGAAAGTTATGTTGACCTTCTCACTGAAGGGAAGAATATGTATAAATAAAAACAAATCTGACCTTATTTTTGATCTTTGACACTACCAGTATGTGATTCCATATTCAATTAACATATTTTATTCTAAAAAGTATAAATTAAACTAAGCAACAGAATATCTGTCACTGTACATGTGTTCATTTATGCATATTTGCATGTTCGTGACATGTTATATACATTATCTATTTGAAGGAAATGAAATACATTTTAATTTTAAAAATCTACCACACAACTTAAAACTGAATATATCATTCTCACACTTTGTGACTTCTTGCTTTTAATAACATTTAACAATTTCAACATTTCATTTGTTTTATAGACAAGAAAAATGTAAACAAAATCTACAATGCAACAAAAAGAGATGAATCATGAATACATAAAAATAGAACAGTTACCCTTGGCTTCCTAACCTCCATCTGACATTTAATGGATCTTGAACAGCACATGCAAGGGGCAACTTTTGACAGAAAAAAGAGCCAAACCTTCCAAATGAGTTAAAAAACCCATCCAATATCATATGTCAAGGACATCCTAAAGCAGTTCATCTTTCTTTTTCAGCCATGTTTATAAAGTTTGTGTTGGCATCCTATGCCTCCAGTTTTCTAGACAAATCTTTAGGAAAATGTATCATGTCCCACTATTATGCTCAGAGATATGAATCCTTCTGGAGATGTAGATTTGCCATCCTTCCTGGCATCATAATAATCCCAGCAGCAGTAACTCACGATTTGTATTACTGGTCAGAAAAATTCTGTTCCATTAGCACAGCAACAGAGAGGAAAAGTGAGAACCAGCAACATCATTTGCTTCTCAGCAGGCAGAGCTAGACCTCCATAGATGTCTTCTGAATGAAGGACAAAAGTGTTATAAACCCCCACAAAAACAATGAATTTCTCCACACATAGAACCTGGTGCTAAAGTAATTTTAATAGTAAAAAAAAAAATCAAGCTGCACCCTTATCTTCACCATTAAGTTGAGATTCATATTCCATCCCTTTCAGCAACCATTTCTTTGACACAGCTTTTTGAAGGAGCATTTTTTTTACGTCAGTGCAGCACCACTGGCATACTAAACACATTAAAAAAATCTTGAAGCTTCCACTGTAATTCTTTTCTAACTGATGCTTCAGTTATCAGCTGTTTCCCTTTTCTTTAAATCAAGATGCCAATCCTGCTGTACCACTGATCTCCCATGGCACAGACTGCTTGTCATCAGGCATGCTGCACTGCAGTCAGAAGACACTGAAGTCCCAGGCAGACAGAGCGGGTCAGAGCTATGCTACAGCATACCTTAGTAAGAAAGATTACTTGGGCATGCACTGTCTCTAAAGCTACTAGAAAGAGATCTGGCATTGAAAGTACACACAGTAATAGATCAGTGCAGCAAAAAGGTAAATACATGCAAGAGCATATTGCATATTGTTCCACTAACTCTGCTCCAGGGTCAAAAGTTGCTGTAAAGAAGCATAATTTTACCAAGTGTTTCATAGAAGAACCCGGCTTAGATTTAGATTAATAGATTCATAGAGTCGGAAGGGACCTCAGTGGGCCATCTAGTCCGACCCCCTGCCCCTGGCAGGCAAGAAAAGTGGAAAACCTCTTCCCTCCCACACACACACCAGTCCCCACTTGAGTGGAGCGCAGGGAGCATTGGGCCAGCACACTGAGCCAGGGAAGGGGGTTTAAACCTCCTCCCTGGCCCTGGAACCCAGCCGGGATTTGCCTGTTGGGACAATCCCTGGCAAGGGGGAGTTGGCAGGGTTTCCAGTCTCTCCTTCCACCTATCCAGCATACAGCTGGATCTCCTGCCTGTATGTTACACCGAGAGACAACAGGTCTCCCTCCCATAGAAATGAATGGGTTTGATGGGGTGTCCGTATGCAGCAAGGAAAAAAAGAAAAAAAAGCTTCCCATAGGAATCACCAGGGTTGACCTGGCATCCAAATTTTTTGCCACCTGTGGTTTTCCTTCCCATTTTCAACTTGGGTCCACTCTGCCGTTTCCCTGGCTTAAGTGCCCCCCATCCCTCACAAGAAGCCAGAGCAGGCAGGCAGGCAGGGAAACACGGATAGGATGACCAACCCCAGAGGGCTTAGGCCTCCAAAAATGTGCCCCCCACCAACCAAGCTTAAGTCTCCCTGGCTTCCACCCCTTCCTGCCTCCTCCTCCCTCACTCTCCCCTCAAGCAGGAATGGGGCATAAGCCTGACTGGGGTCTCATGTAGACCACGGTGGGTCTAAAACACCCCCCCCCGGCATGCTAGCCTGGTGCTGGGGCCTGGCCACACCCCCTCCGCTCGAGCAAGGAGGAGGGAATAGCCTTGGAGCTTCAGTCCCTTCCCTTTGGCAGCAGCTGGCAGGTCTCCTCTAGCACCCCCTGACTTCTGGCCTGAGCCACTACTGGCATGTGGCTGCATTTCCTGAATTAAAAGTGAATGTCTGTTCACTTGCTTCTCAGTTTAATCTCTGCAATTTAGACTAACCTGCAAAACTGATTCAATTCAGCCTCAGACTTTTTTGACTGTCTGCACTTAGCCCTGATGGCTGTATACAGCCTGCAGGCTAAAAGCTCAATCCTGAACCTAATTTGCTTTGCTGTCAGGGGTACATAAACCTCAAGCAGTCATGTAAACCAGCAAATACTGGAGAAAGTGAATGCACTGAGGATAAAGGGAAATTACTCTCTCTCTTTTGGAAGATGCAAATTAACTCTCTTAACCCTTACTCCAACACCAACTATAACTGGATATAAACCCTTCCTCTTCTCACAGTTGGGACCATCAGCAGTGGGAAAAGAAGAACTGGGAATGGGTTCTTTAAGTCACATAAAACAGAGCATTCATATTTTTACAGGAAATTGTGCGAAATGCCAAGTGGCTGTTGTTCTTACATTCAGATTGTTAATTCAAATTAGACCCTGCAGGCAGAGAGGCTAAAAGCTTGGAAAATAGATATAAAGGCAAAGGAATCAGCATAGCTGCTTCCAGGAGGGGCTTCTCAAAATTTGAGAGAGAGAAAGCTCTTTAGTTTCTAGCTGCAGAAGAGCCAGAAGTCATCACTGTAACAGAAAGTTACACTGAGCAGCAATGTATTAATTTATATATGAATGTATTCATTTATATATGAAAACAGTACAGTTTTACGACTAGACTCATCAGATTTTACATGCTTCCTGATATGACAAGGGAAATATTAGCAAGTTAAAAGACAAAAAGTTTAGACTACCATGGGCAAAGTTTTCATGATGTGATACTGGTACATATAACCAAGTGATCCTTATCTGACAATGCTTTAAAATTTAAGAGGAAATTAATTCACTTCACAGCATCTCTTCAAATGCAAGCAATTAGCTGGAGGAAGATTAATACTTGACCAGGCTAGAATGAGGAGCACTTGGTCTTTGGAATGACGGATACCTACTTGGACTTCAGATTCAAGCTAACTCTCAGTCTCCCAGCATCCCAGGATGATCTGCACCTCCCCCACAAGGCCCTCCCTCTCCCCCCTTGCAAGGTAGGCGGGCTAGCCTTTACCCAACTGGCCCCCCTCTTCCCCAGCCCCCTGAGGTGGAGCACCTTGAATTTCTCCATATTGAATGCCATCAGGTTTTCATCCACCCACCTTGCAAGTCTACTGAGGTTGGCCTGGATCACCAGCCTATCCTCAAGTATGGACATTCTTCCCCAAAGTTTGGTGTCATCAGCAAACTTAGCCAATCTGCTTCTGATACCAGTGTCCAGATTGTTTATGAAGAAATTAAAGAGGATAGGTCCAAGAACAGAGCCTTGGGGGACAACACTGGTCACTGAGTGCCAAGTTGATTCGGATCCATCAACGACCACTCTCTGGGTCCAACCTTGGAGCCAGTCCCCCAGCCATCGGACTGTGGAGTAGTTGAGGCTGCAGTTGCCCAGTTTTTCCATAAGGACATCATGGGACACCAGGTCAAAGGCTTTTTTAAAGTCCAAATATATGATATCAACCTCTTCCCTTTTGTCCAGGCGATACGTCACCTGGTCATAGAAGGAAATGAGATTGGTCAAGCAAGACCTACCCGCAACAAACCCATGCTGGCTATCACTTAGAATTTTGCCTTCTGTTAGACTGTCAAGAATGGTTTCTTTGATAAATTTTTTCAAGATCTTCCCAAGGATTGAGGTCAAACTGATTGCCCTGTATTTTCCCAGGTCTTCTTTCCTCCCTTTCTTGAAAATGGGCACCACATTGGCCCTCTTCCAATCTTTAGGTACTTCCAAGCTGAACTGATTCAGCCTTGGGCTTTTTGACTTTCTGTACTTAGCCAAGAAAGAAGGAGCGCTAGAGACAACTAAAAGTACATAGTTCTTCAAAAGAGCTCCTGAAATTCTGAACAAATGGAACATAATTAAAAACTATTTGCCCAATATGCAAAAAATTCTGAGAAATATACACTGAGCACTTCATAAGAGACTGCCATATATTCCTCACAAGGTATATCTGTAGAACTACCTTTTGGGGGAGTTAACAAAAGTGGAAATCAAAGTAATCTCATCAACATACTTGAGGAAACCCATGGGAAAAGGAAGGGGGAAAATTATGTCAGAGGCTGCCACATCTCATGATCAAAAGGTAGGAGAAATGGATAAAATGGAACAGG